GAATGGTAGTAGCTAAACTGCTGTAGGATGAATGGGTGGGGCTAAACTGCTGTGGTCTGTGTATGTTTACATACTACCTAAAACACTTCAAACTAATGGGAATAATTTGTTTTCCATGGAATGGGCCTTTTAAGCCCTTTAAGACTATCACTTTCATCTTTGCTCTCACTGGAATTTGGAGAAGCTGTTCTGTAACAAATGAAATGACTTTAATGACATCACCATGTTCTGATGTTCTACACCACATTCACACAAACACATTCTGCTCACAGACTGTCCTTAATGTAATACAGGATTTACCACAGGCTTCACGTGTTTATGACGTGTTCATTTATACATATTTGTTTATGTGCATGTGTGCGTTACCTGTTTTTAAGGGGAATTCCACCAATGTTTCAAAATTCCTGCATAAGTAAATTGCTAAGATGTAAACAGAGTGGTTCAGAGTGGTTTGGTGTGAAAGGCTCCGTTCTAGAGAAACTTACTTAGTCAGAATTGTTCACAGTGGTGGTGATAGGTCCACCCCTAAAAGCTGTTTTATGATAGTTTTGAGTCAGTAAAAGCTAATGTTGCTGACAATAAATGGTAATGAATAAAATCATGCTAATTGACAGCTACCGGCTTCCATTCACTATTAGCGACATTACCATATTATGTTTAGCTAAGCTTTTGCCCCCGAAGAGTGAACTAGCACAGTTACAGCCATCAAACCTGGACTATTGGCGCCACTGTGTGGCCAGAGAAATGCATTGCACTTTTCTTTGTGAATGGAATGACATCACAGTAAAACATTGAATTTCACTATTGGGAAACAAAAATAAAACATAGAATGTGGCCTGTGCAAGTTATGGCACATTATTATTGTATTTTTTTCCCCCCAATATGTTAGATTCAGCGAGTAAACAGTGATTCTGCATTGAAATGTTCAGAACTTCTAGAGTTTATTGGCAATGTTAGCCATTTACCATTAAGGCTAAACTAAAGAAACAAGATTTGCAATAATTGTTTGTTTGTATTAACTGTAATGTTATATAGTGTTTTAGCAGCCAAAATGTATATGTGTTTGTATGTATGTATATTTATATATATGTATATATATATATATATATATATATATATATATAATATATATATATATATTTACACAACGCGTGTCGAAGTGTGTTAATATAATATAAATCTTGAGAAACAGTTTTCTTTAATTAGTTTAGTCAGGACGACACTTTAAATAGCTTTAGGTGCAGCAAAACTACACCAATATTGAAATATGGTAGTATATTATAGTTTTAATGATTATTTTGAAATAATTAATTGTCATTATCATCAATATGTATGTTTATAATCACAACCAACTGTCTGATGGTACTAACAATTACCACATTTTGAGGAAAGAGTTGGTTAACGTAACTTGATCATTATGAAATGTTCACACGGTCACACAGTGTTCTTCAAATGACTCAAAATTCAACATTAGACATGTACAAACAAACAGTTTATCAAGATGTTCCAGAGGAAATCACCCCCGCTCATCTTCCCTGAAGTGATGATGATCCAAATAATACAACCTAGCACATCATGAAATAAAAATGGAATTATGGCTAAGCTTCATGATTCCCAGAAAAGCATTACAAAAATAGCCCTGTAAATGTGCATCCACAATGGCATGCATTTATGCAGTGACGTAAACTAAACTTCTGAACTTACGGAACTTCTCTTACAGGCAGAACTTGTTTTCCTACTCAGTGGTGGCCATTTTATTAGAAACGCCTACCTTGTGCTTCCACTAACTGGCCACTTTATTAGAAACACCTACCTTGTACTTCCACTCCCAGATAGTGTGTGGATGTGGGCCACTTTTGGCACAGATATGGCACTGCTGGCCCACTGTCGGCACTGGCAACCTGTATGTCAGCCAAAGGTGGCCCACATATTGAAAATATGGATTTGGCCCACATGTTTTAAAACAGATCTGGTCCGCTTCTGGCACAGATATGGCAGCGCTGCCTACTGGTAAACAGCATGTGAGCCAAAAGTGGCCCACATATAAAAAAATTCATATGGCCCACAAGTATTAAAACAGATCTGGTCCAATTCTGGCACAGATATTTTTCTGCTGCCTACTGTTAAACAGCATGTGAGCCAAACCTGGCCCACATATATAAAAAAAAATCATATGGCCCACATGTCCCAGAACAGATCTGGTCCAATTCTGGCTCAGATATAGCACTGCTGCCTACTGGCAAACAGCATGTAAGCCACAACTGGCCCACATATGAAAAAAACATCATATGGCCCACATGTCTTAAAACAGATCTGATCCACTTCTGGCACAGATATAGCACTGTTGCCTACTGGCAAACAGCATGTAAGCCAAAACTGGCCCACATATAAAATGCTAATATGCCCTGTGCATTACAAAACAGTTCTGGGCCACATAATATAAGTGATTACATCTAGTCTGCACCTGCAATGTCTTTAGTTTTTACGTGTTTCTATAATTGTAACCTGAGTTTGTTTAGCTGGCATGTACATCCAGGGTATATGGGAAAAATTTACAGACACTGCATGAATGGGCCAGACAAAACCTGGGCAGGGGGTATTTCTCAAAGCAGGATTTCTCAGTTAGCCAGATGAGCTCAAAGATGATGACTGTCCAATAGAAATGTTCCTCAGTTCTTTTCCTATTGGACAGGCTTAAGTTAAATTTTTTCCGTTCCACCTGAAATGGTGCCTGAAGTGCCAGAATGTAACTCCTGCACTGTTTAAGGTGGAACAAGAAAAATCAATCTTCAGCTTCATGACTTTGCAACTTTAGTGTTTGACAGTTTCCCTCTGCAGATTAAACGTATCAGAGAAACCAGCTGGAGTGATTATTAATGCTAATAAGTCCATTCATCTCCAAATTATCCATGTTCATCTTAAATCTTTCTCTTTGCCTGTTTGTTAGCTGTTCGAGACTGTTGTCTCTGTTGTTATAGTGACCAGCAGTCTGCTTGCCAATCTCAGGGTTAAAGGGTGCAAGTTTGTATTTACACACTTTTTTCTATTTTATCAGGTCCACCAAACATATCGGTACTGCTGGGACACAGCCTTGTATCTCCATTTTTATTCTATTTTTTTCCATTTTTTAAAATTATTATGTAGACTTTGTTGCCTTTACATTGAGTCAGACTTTTACGGTTAATGGAGCACTAGAAATGTCCTAAAATTATTGGGGGAAAAAATATCTTCTTCCATTAATTTCCACTCAAATGTAAGAATGTTTTTATCCTTTCCTGTAAAGTTTCCATTTTGGGGATGCAAGGTTTTGTCCCGACCAGAACAATATAAATGCATGGTGGTCTTTTCCGCTGATGGATGGGGCTGGGGGTGACTGCTATATTGTACAACTATATCTTGTAGCAGAGTATGTCTATGGAGGGTTTACATGATGAAATGGACAGTGAGTGTACATACAAAGAAGGTGTACGTAACTACCTAGAAACTCAACTATTTACTTTTATTTTTTAAAAGATGCAGCATTGCCACTGGAATTAGTTCTGAGGTCAGTACAAGGGCTGTTTAAACAAGAAACATATTGTGTGTATTGTCTTTTAGATTATACATAAACTAGAAAAATCCAATTTGTGAATTTAGAAAAAATGAGTGCTATTCTTTGGTTTGCAGTCTCATGTGAGTCAGTATGGAACAAGTATTCATGATGGTATAGAGGTGCATTAGTGCACATGGCATGGGTGACGTGCACATCTGTGAAGGCACCATTAATGCTGAATGATATATACAGGTTTTGTCAACATATGCTGCCTTCCAGACGGCATCTTTTTCAGGGAAGGCCTTTTTATTTTAGCAGGACAATGCCAAACCACATTTTACATGTATTACAACAGCATTGCTCTGTATTAAGAGAGTCCTGGTGCTAAACTGGCTTGCCTGCAGTCCAGACCTGTCACCACTGATAACATTTGGCACATTATGAAATGAAAAACACCACAAAGGAGACCCTGAACTGTTGAGCAGCTGAAATCCTGAATCAAACAAGAACAGGAAAACATTTCACTTTCAAAACTACAGCAGCCAGTCTCCTCAGTTCCCAAACACTTACAGAGTGTTGCTAAAAGAAGAAACACAGTGGTAAACATGCTCCTGTCCCAATATGTCCCCGTCAAATTCAAAATGGGCATATATTTTTCAAAAAACAATACATTTTCTCAGTTTCAGCATCTGATATGTTGTCTTTGTAGTATTGTCCTTTAAAAATATAGTTTACATGATTTGCATATCATTGCATTCTATTTTTGTTCACAAAAACAGCGTCCCAATTTTTGGAAATGGGGTTGTAAAAGTGACACTTCGTTCTCATCGCCGGACTGAGAACAAGTCCACCAACCAAAAACATTCAGCCAACAGAGTCCTGTGACCACTGACTAGAGGATGACCAACACAAACCGTGCGGCAGCAGATGAGCCACTGTCTCTGATTTTACGTCTACAAGGTGGACCAACAAGGTAAGAGAGTCTAATAGAGTGGACAGTGAGTGGACACAGTGTTTAAAAACTCCAGCAGCACTGCTGTGTCTGATCCACTCATACCGGCACAACACACACTAAGACACCACCACCGACGTGTGTCACTACAGTGCTGAGAATGACCAACCATCCAAATAATACCTGCTCTGTGGGGGTCCTGTGGGGGCCCTGACCACTAAAGAACAGGGTAACAAAATATGCAGAGAAACAGATGGACTAGAGTCTGTAATTGTAGAACTACAAAGTGCTCCTATATGGTCAGTGGAGCTGATAAAGTCAACAATGAGTGTAGATATATGCATGTATGTGCATGTGTTTCCAGTGAAGTTGTCTTCTCTGTAGTGTATCTGGAAGCTGTTAAGCTCAACAACATCAAGCACAAACTTGCCCACATTTTTTTTAAAATGAAAAACAGCAGTGAGGGCTTTCCCCTCCAGATTGACAGAGAGAGAGAGTGAGAGAGAGAGAGAGAGAGAGCACTTCCTCTGTGTGTTGTGTCATGCGGGTGTAGACTATGGAAATAACAGGGCGGGACTGAATGTGAAACGGTGCAAACGAAAGAGTTTGAACTAAACACACACAGACAGACGAACAGACGAGCTCACAAAGACTGGATTAAGGTGAGTCCAATATTGTTATTATTTTTTCTAGTGGAATTCAAATACGCTACACTTTTATTTACTTCTGTAATTCTAAACTATATGTTTGGGTTCAAATGATATTTTAAATATTGTACATATTAACAAAATAAATATCTATATGTATTATACATATTGTTGCTGTTCAAAAACATAAAAACAAGTATCTCCATTTTTTTTTCTACATAATTCGAGTACAGCAGCTGTCCTTTACATTATGTTAACATTTCATGATGATTAGACTGATAGAAATACTCCAAAATCACTTTGAATAAAACATCTTTACATTCATTTACCTAAAAAGAAAAAAAAAATTGCCCTCTCTTGTAAAGTTACCATTTTGGAGATTTCTTTGGATAGTGACAATATTTTAATATTTTATGTATGACATTCATATTATTTATACTAGGTTTTAACAGTATATGCATGCATGTACAAGTTATTTATACATTTAAACACAATGTTTTATTTTACTTGTACATATTCGCATGTATTCTACTCTCATTTCATTTTCCATATGATTTATAAGTGACCCGTCCTAGCTCAGTTCATATCACAGTACCTACATTTAGAGACAGTTATTCACTCAACCTAATGAGAAACTGTAGAACAGACTCAGTTTATATCACAATACCTACATTTAGAGTCAGTTATTCACTCAACCTAATGAGAAACTGTAGAACAGACTCGGTTTATATCACAATACCTACATTTAGAGTCAGTTATTCATTCAGCCTAATGAGAAACTGTAGAACAGACTCAGTTTATATCGCAATACCTACATTTAGAGCCAGTTATTCATTCAACCTAATGAGAAAATGTAGAACAGACTCGGTTTATATCACAATACCTACATTTAGAGTCAGTTATTCATTCAGCCTAATGAGAAACTGTAGAACAGACTCAGTTTATATCGCAATACCTACATTTAGAGCCAGTTATTCATTCAACCTAATGAGAAACTGTAGAACAGACTCAGTTTATAGCGCAATACCTACATTTAGAGTCAGTCATTCATTCAGCCTAATGAGAAACTGTAGAACAGACTCGGTTTATATCACAATACCTACATTTAGAGTCAGTTATTCATTCAGCCTAATGAGAAACTGTAGAACAGACTCAGTTTATATCGCAATACCTACATTTAGAGTCAGTTATTCATTCAGCCTAATGAGAAACCATAGAGGTATTTCCAAGAATAGCTGTGCTTTATGATATGACTACATTTTCCAATGTAAAACATTAGAAAGATAAAAAATGATGCTCTAAATGACAACAACAGCACAGTTACAGGAAAAAACGAGCCACAGTATTTCTAGGTATATGATAGCCTTCCACCAACTGAGCTGTAAGAGCATAGTAGTTTTTCAAGGCTGCCCCAGCTGAGTAAGGTGGTCGGGATGGTCAAACACTTAAAGAGATCAGTAAGATATGCTGGAATTCAGCAATTAACCCCTTAAAATCTCAGGCTTATTACACACTAAGGCTTGCTATTCAGTAACTACAGTGACTTCCATGCGAACTGGCTGAGCTATTCTTATAGAAGTATGTAATAAAACTTTGGGCCCTGGCCGTTTAAGGGATTAAGAGCTTTAAATGTTATCAGTAAGATCTTGTAGTCGATGCGGATCTTAAAGCAGCACTATATGTAACTGCATGCAACGGACCCCTACAAGCAGATGAATATGACTCTTGCCAGTTTATTAAAAGAGAATTCAGAGAGAACTCTACTATTGTCATCACATCTTCATCAATATAATGTGGATTTTTAGATCATTTGAGGCCTAAACAGCCGGACCTTCTTTTTGAATCTGTGTGTGTGACTGTGTAATATGTAAAGACGTACAACATGGTGTGAAAAAATTGATGCCTCTGGCTTTAAATGATTATTTCAGACTTTACAGGGTGACTCACAGCAGTGCACATTCACCATATTTTAGTGTGTTCTTTTGTCTCCTCACTCAGTAATGACACTTCTTTCGATTTTAACAAAAAATCTTACATAGTGCAGCTTTAACCCCTTAAAATCTCAGGCTTATTACATACTAAGGCTCATTATTCAGTAACCACGGGACTTCAGTGCAAACTGGCTGAGCTATTCTTAGGTTATAGGAGTGTGATAAAACTTTGGGCCTGCCAGTGGGCTCTGGCCCTTTGAGGGCTTAAAAGGAAGCCAGTTTAAATTGGATTAGACAGTGTAATAAGCTCAAACTTTGTGTTCCAGGTGAGCACATGGGCTGCTGCATTCTGAACTCATAAAAGTTAATTTAGAGAAACAGCAAAGCAACCAGCCAGTAACACGGTACAGTCTAATCTAGTGTTTATGAATCTGATTTCTCATGTCTTGTTTTGGATATGTTTCTCAATCTTGGAGATTTTACTGATATGTGTCTCAAATGAACATCTAGCACCCATGGTTGTAACAGGTTCTTAACTGTAACAGTAGCTTTTGTTTGCACTGGAAAACCATTAGATGTCAATGATAAAATCAGCAATTTAATTTCCAGCAAACTTAGCAGGAGGAAGTTCCTCATCAGCCAGGCTTTATGTCTTTACACAATCCTTCATTTTGTGTCATTGTGTCATTGTACTGGGCAGAGGTGACACGTGACTAGTGTAACTTTCATCATCATCATAAATGTGAACACTGTGTTCACCTAGGAGCTGTTAAGGGAGAACAGCAAGGACCCTAAAACAGAGCCTTGTGGGACACCATACAGCACTCTTCTATGTTCATAAAAAAACACCTCTTTTACACTGACAAAGTGGAAGTGATTGATTATGTAAGGCCTAAATTGTGGAGGAACTGTGTTTTCAAGTCTTGAATATCATGCTTAGTTGTATCTAAAGCTACACTCAAATCCAGCAGCACCAGAAGAGAGTTTTCTGCAATTTGAGGCAATTAGTGAATCGCTAACTGATGTTTCCCGAAAGCCAGACAAAATACTCAAGGTTGTTATACTTTCTTGATAAAGAACAGAGCACTTGGGCAAACAACTTTTCTTCAAAATCATAGAAAGAAAAGGAGTGTGGCAAAAGAATGTTAACTGGGGAGATCAATGGGATCAAGGTGCAGTTTCTTAACCCTCTGAGGGGTCTGAGGGGGCTGTATTTTTATTTTATTTTTACTTAATATTTTGCCATGAATATGGCACAAACTGGCCGTATTCAAAATATGCCAAAACTGAAACAGCAAAATATGTAATACATACTTAAACAATTTTAAATAATTTTAAATAAAACATTTTAAATAATCTTAAATAAAACTAAATTGTTTTATGTAAAACAATAGGCTACATTAACTTCAGATAACCGTTAAAGCCCTTTAACTGTCCCCAGGAGGTCGGTTTTTAAAACTGCCTATTTGCCTGAACTCGACACCAGACATCTTTTGTTTTTCTGTAAGTGCTGGCCCACAGATTGTTGTTGGAGGAAGGGGGTCAGAGCACACATTGTGTTGCAATGCACGCTGGGGACTATAGTGCAGTTCAGGGTGAAACGGGCTAATAATAATAGAAAATTAAAATAACTTTGCGGGCCGAGTAGAATTGTGCCAGGGGCCTGACTTGGCCCACGGGCCTTGTGTTTGACGCATGGCACATAAAGGACCATAACCTTTAAGGCTCATGAAGAACCAATGGAGCTGAACGTGTGAATGTGTGAGAATTAGAGCAGGCACGCCCAGCAAGGAAGCTCCTGGGTGAGTCAAGCATGTTTGACAGTATGATGGGAAACTCCACTCAGCCATGGAAATTTCATACCTTACGCAATCCAAATGATTATCCAGAAGTTTTACATTCTTCTCTTGACACAACTGGAATTGAACCCTTACCTGATCTTACCTGGGTCAGGTGCGCTAGAGCTGAAACAGGGTGAAAATCTGGACCGGACTATGGTGCCAAGAAACTGGACTGAGAACCTTACAAACAAAATCATGCTATGATTCCATGATTTGTAGGCCAAGTAGGTCAAGTATGTTGACACACACAATGAATTTGGTTCCAGCCATTGGCATTGTTCTAGTATTATATACAATATACAAAAAAATGTATGTATAATTTACAGACAATGCAGAATATACATTATACACAGTACACAAGCAATAAGCAGAGTATATAAGGGCAATAATATACAGACACTGTGCATACTATCTACAAACAAAAATACACAGTATACAAGCAACATGAGATTATATAGAGACAAGCAATATATAGAAGTGTGTGCTGTAGAGTAAACAGTGGTGTAAGTGTGGTGTACAATGGTGGGATTGTGATTTCTGATTATTTTAGTGTATTTTTAGGTCATTTTCTGACATTTTCTGAAAACATGCAGACTCAAACCTGTCCAAACAGAATAGAAATCAAATCTAAGTGTAGTTTATTACATAACTAACAATGTAATCATGCTAATAATTATGTAAATCAAAACAACAATACGACATTTCGTGTTAAAAAAATAAAATCCAAGCCAAATCAGACATCAGTAGAGCTTGAAATCTGAACTGAAATTACCGTCGCGCCACCTGTACAGTAACTAAAGAAAATAATTAGCCTTTATTAACAGAATTAAACTAGAACTTACCAAAATTCCTGCATAATTCAGAGTTTGAGATGTAAACAGAGAGATTCAGAGTGGTTTGGTGTGAAATGGTTCAGATGTCTTTACAGTGGTGGTGATAGGAACCAGGAGACGCCATGACTACAACACAATTATAGACATTTTATTTACTCTCCAAAACCACCAGTGAACCTACACATGTCTTCTGAGTTTTATATGGAATGTTGATGATGGGAAAATAGTGGAAAATCTGAAATAATAAGCTTTCTTTGGAGAGCAATTCTGATATTTCACACCAAACCACTCTGAACGACTCTGTTTACGTCTTAACGGCTTAATTAGGCAGAAATTCAGTGGAAGTCCGCTTTAACATTAAGGGCAAAATTCCAAAAAAGGGAAGAGTTTAAAATAGAAAGGAGAACGTTTGCTCTGAATGTTGGCTCCAAGTGGAGCATTCAAAGCTGGCTGCATCATTTACTCTGTGCGGGATTCCTCAGAAGTGATGCAGCTGTTTCAGAGATTCTCCGGAAGGACAACAGAGGGAAATCTGAACCAAAATAAACCTCAGTACAGTGAGTGGTGGTCTGCGTACACTATTGTTCTAAAAACATTCTGAGAATATTACACGCATGTTCTATTAATTTTTTTTTTGTAGGAAGTTCTGTTTTTGTTCCCAGAATGATGTCCGGGGAATGTTCTCTAAAAACATCATTATTTAACATAATCTGTGGCCCTGACAGCATCCTCAAAACATGCCTTGAACGTTGCAGGTAAAACACTATGTCACAGTGAACATTCAACCTCATAGGAACATAAACGTAAACGATAAACATCCTTAAAACATTAGATTAAAAGGTTTTCTTTAAAACATTATTAGAACTTGTAATGTTCTGTACTAGCTGAGTAACCAGAGTTTATTCTTTCCAGCTCAGCGACAATTGCAGATTAAAATTGAAATTTTAGCAAATGGCAGAACAGCAGAAATGTATGAGCATTATGGCCATAAGAGGAAATTATAGGGGGCCAAGCACTTGGGCTTAGAGAGGGCCAGTTTTTCATTACTGTTACAGAAGTACTTATTATAATAATGAGGTTATTTCTGGTGTCATCCAGGGCAAAAATAAACATAAGGTCAGCCTTTTTTAGCCAACAATGTTAAATTGCTCCTGTATCTGTCACCCTGATTTACTGAAATGAGTTAAAGACTCTGAACAGCTGTCTGGGTGTGATGAAAATGCAGTGTCTGTCCTTTTTTATTATCTCTGGTTTCCTCTCTGATCTTTACTGTATTTAGAACCAGCATCATTCACTACACTCACTGTTACCATTCTCAGAAATGTAGTGGGTGGGGAGAGAGAGAGAGAGAGATGGTGAGAGATTAAACAGATCAGCACAGCAGTGCTGCTCGACACAGCAGTGCTGCTGGAGCTTTTAAACACTGTGTCCACTCACTGTCCACTCTATTAGACACTCCTACCTTGTCAGTCCACCTTGTAGATGTAAAGTCAGAGACGATAGCTCATCTGCTGCTGCACAGTTTGTGTTGGTCATTCTCTAGTCCTTCATCAGTGGTCACAGGAGTTGACTGGATATTTTTGATTGGCGGACTATTCTCAGTCCAGCAGCGACACTGAGGTGTTCAAAAACTCCAGCAGCACTGCTGTGACTGATCCACTCAGACCAGCGCAACACACACTAACACACCACCACCACGTCAGTGTTACTGCAGTGCTGAGAATGATCCACCACCCAAATAGTACCTGCTCTGTGAGGGTCCATGGGGGTCCTGACCACTGAAGAACAGGGTAAAAGGGGCTAACAAAGTATGCAGAGAAACAGATGGACTACAGTCTGTAATTGTAGAACTACAAAGTGCACCTATATAGTAAGTGGAGCTGATAAAATGGACAATGAGTGTAGAAACAAGGAGGTGGTCAGAATGTTATGCCTGATCGGTGTATACATATACATTGACAATACAAAATAATACAAAATACAAATATACTACAAATGTTGCGTTATGTGTCATGCCAATAAAGCACCTTGAATTGAAAAGTCGAAGTTTATTCCACGCTGATTAATACATTTCTCTGTTCTCAGATGTCCTTCATGGCCACTTTGGTCACTTCTGGGGAAACCGTCACCTCGCCCACAGATAAGAACAACATGTCTTGGAACGGGACATTCCTGGACTCACAGTTCCGCTACTCTCTCTTCCCCGCCTTCTACGGCCTGGTGTTCATTCTCGGCTTGTTGGCTAACATCTACGCGCTCTTCATCCTGCGGCATATGCGTGACGCCAAGGCCATGAACGAGATTAGGATCTACATGACCAACCTGACCGTGGCCGACCTGCTGTTCATCCTCGTTCTCCCCTTCTGGATCGACTACTACCGTAACAATGGCAACTGGAACTCCTCGGAGGCACTGTGCCGCATCGCTGGCGCGCTGTTCTTCATCAACACTTACTGCTCTGTCCTCTTCCTCACTGTGATTAGCGTCAACCGCTACTGGGCCGTGACCCGGCCGCTAGTCGCTGCTTCTTCTGACTGCTGGAGGCGAGGCATCATCGTGTCCTTCATCATTTGGGTCATCACACTAGCGGCCGCAGCTAAGCAGCTCAGAGATACCGGCATCCAGAAAGACGGCAGCATTTCACGATGTTTTGAAGGATATCACAACCAGTCAGCAGGAGAAAAGATAGCTGTAGCGGCCATCCACTTTATCATCATCGGCATCTTCTTTGTCGTTTTCATGCTCGTCATTGTGTGTAATGTGCTAATTGCTAGCACCTTGCTAAAGCAGCCTATCAGCCAGCCGAGGCCCAGCACGGGCAGGAGGCCGCAGGGTACAAAACGGCGCGCCCTGCGCATGCTGTGTGCCGTCATAGGGGTTTTTGTTGTGTGCTTCGTCCCACACCACGTGGTTCAGGGGCCCTGGACGCTAGCCGTTCTGGAGCTGACCGACTGGAGCCAGCAAACCCGCCAGCGCCTGAACGATGCCCACCAGATCACCCTGATGCTCATGGGACTGAACTGTCTGCTGGACCCCGTTGTCTACTGCTTTGCCACCAGGAAGTTCCGCAAGTACATCCAGGGGCACCTGCGGAAGGTCAAAGATGGGAAAGCCTGCTCCACCAACACCACCATCACCGGAGTGTCCATGAAGGTCAAGCACCAAAATGAATTGGTTAGCGTCTTTGAAGACCCCAAAGAGTAGCTGTGTGTTCAAGGTGGAGCACTGTGCTCCAGAAACCAGAGCTCTTCAGGGATAGACATGCTGCACACAGTGATTAAATTAAATACATACCAGACAGAAAGTGGAGAAAATGGAGAGTGTATAAACACTGGATAGAAAGTGGAGAAAAGAGTACTGTGTATGTACTGGACATTAAAGAGAAACATGGAGTTTTTGCATACTGGACATAAAAGGGAAAGTGAAGTGTGCTGGACCTAAAAGGGACAATTGGGGTGTGTATACATACTGGATATAAAAGAGGAAATTGGGGTGTGTGTACATCCTGGATAGAAAGTGGATAAATTCTGGGTGTGCATAAATAACAGATCGAAAAGTAGAGTGTGTACATGTACCAGACATAAACAAGAAATGTGAATTGTCCATACCTACTGGATAAAAAATGAAGAAATGGACAGTATGTATAAATACTGGACAGAATATGAAAAAATGTGAAGTATGTATACATACTGGATAGGAAGTGGAAAAATGATGAGTTTGTATACATACTGGGTAGAAGTGGAATGTGTGCACTTATTTGACAATTTGAGCTTTTCAACAGAAGGAACGTCACAGATGTTTATCTAAACGACTGCAGAGCATTTAACATAAAACATCATTCAGATCATGAATAATGCTTTAGTGTATGCAGCTCACTGTACAGGTGATTTCACATCATTTTTCATAACTTAGCCAATCTCTGCTCTTTAGAAATAATCTGCCTGAAATTCCAGAATTTCACAGATGCGGAAATGATATTTTTAAATCATAACCATCTCGATTTCAAACCGTACAGAAAGCTGCGGTGGTTTTGTGAGCGTGATGTTCTTCCTGTTCTCAGCTGCATTTCTTCACACCCCTCTTCATCGTCTTATGCAACTTTTCTAGTTCTCCAAAATGCAGGAAATTCAGAAATAACCCCCCCCCCCAAAGGAAGCATGCATGGTACACTTTAAAAACTACACACTCAAAAACGACGGTTCTTCAAGTGTTCTTCAGTAAAAACAATGGCTTCAATTACAACCATGAGTTCAGTGTAGATCTATCTAGTGCATAAATGGTTCTTCAAATTGATGGAGAACGTGCTGTATGGTTATAAATAGCACAAAAAAGGTTCTGCTATTGTTACGGTGTCAAGTTTATCACAATAGAAGAACCCTTTTTGGTGCTGTGGTGCTTTTTAAGTGTGTAGGCTCCTAAATGGTTCTTGACTTGGTTAAAAACACTCTATATTGGTGAAAATACTGTAGATTCTGTATGTTTTAGAGTTTTTCTGCTCTAATTGATCGATTGAACTGATCCTCAAACTCTTCATGTGCTGAATCAGGTGCTAGAGTAGGACTGGCTCAACAAATTATATATATATATATATATATATAGATAGACTCTGATATGTATATATATATATATATACTCTTAAAAAAGGTGGTTTGTCAAGGGTTCTTTAGTAAATATAATGGTTCTATATTGAACCATTTCACCATGCAGAGAACCTTGTAAGCATACAAATGGTTCTATGAGTGTTCTTGGTCTTTCCTAAAGAACTTTCCAAGAACCAGTCTTTTACATATATACATGTGTGTTTTTTTTGACATAATTTTAAAAAAACATTTGCCCTTGACGTTGTGCTAAAATTTCATGATGAACGTAGTAATAGAAACAGTCCAAAATTACTCAGAAAAATATCTCTCCGTTTAGTTCCATTTAAATTTAAGAATGTTTCTCTTTCTCTTGTAAAGGTGTATATTCTGAGATACGATGTTCTGTTCTGACAGCAGCAATTTATTTATTAATTTTTTATTATACAGGAGGTTACAGAAAAAATAAGTATATGTATACGTGTGTGTGTGTGTATGTGTGTACATTTGTGTATGTGTGTGTGTGTGTATGATCAGGACAAAGTGGGGCTACTGAAGGTGTTTTTGATTATATATTTTTTATATTTTTTTGTACAGTGTCAAAATTTCAAAATGAATGGACCAATAAAAAATGCTGCAAAGTGGCTTTGAAAAGTCTTTTTACAGTAGCTTACTTTGACAGTATAGAACATTTTTACTTCTCCTGTTAAGTTATTTTTTGGAGATATGAGGTTATATGGAGACAACCTCACTAGTTATAAACAAATGACAAGCATCTTAATGTGTACAGCAATGATCGTTACAAATATTTATGTAAAAATGCAGTGAAGAAATAATTCTTAAAACATAATAAAACTTTAGCAGACTGTAGCTGACCCTCTTGCACTTTGTGTTGGCTTAGCAAATAAAAGTATTTTTTTTTAAATATTCATATTTTTACAAATTAATTTAAAGTATTTAAGCAAAACAATGTCTTCAGGATTGTAGAAGAACATTTAGGTGGGTCCAGTCACCCATCCTGCTCCTGGAGATCCTCTCCTGCAGACTGCAGCTCCAACCCTAATGCACCTCCCTGATCCATTCGCTGGAGGAGCTGAGTCAGGTTGGGGCTGGAGGAACCTGCAGGAGGGAGGATCTCCAGGAGGAGGGGGAGAGCACTGAGAGGGTCTCCGCTGTGTGTGGTGAAATCTGCTGTCGTTACATGTCCTGTTTTAGATGTAACACTGCGTTTGCGTTTCATGCTGCGGACGTTTAGGCACGTTCTCCTGAGCCTGAAGCTCATCCGCAGCTGACCTAAGTCATTTCCTGTGTGCTGCAGAGCAAACTGTGAAATCATGAACCAAACTTATGAAATATCACACCTCGCTCCTCACATAGCTCCTCTGCTGTGTTCTCACATTCTGTAAACTGTGTTATCATCACTGTTTGAGTCTGAGCAGTACTGCACTGTCTACTGTTGATATGAAAATGGAAATATTTATGATTTTGTTTTAGTTTTAAATGTATTTTTTATTTGAAGTGTGTAGGGATGAATGTTTTTTGTTTGAAGCACAGATGAACTTGAATTACATTCCTGGTTAATGTTTGTTGTGGTGATTAAGTCTGTGTTTACATACCATATGTGAAGTGGCTGGTTGAAGTTTGTACAGGATGTTAACCTGTCAGTAATTTTCATGTAATTACTGCAAAACTGTCCACTATGAACATATAATATCAAGATGATAGTGAGTCCTTTATTAAATGGTTTTCGATATTAAGACATAAAATCGAGTGCTGCCCATATTCATGAAAATATAAAAAAAAACATATCAAATATATTTACACCTGTGACTTTCAGTAAACTTTTTACTTTGTAATGTGATTTGAAAAGAAATTTCAATATAAAATGTATTTTTCTATTCATGAATCAATTTTTGAGATGCATCAGGAAGACCACTTTAATAAATCATAAACATTGTCTATATGTATCTGTTACAGTCATTTTGGCAAGTTATCCAATAGTAAAACTTTATTATATATATAGATAGATTATAGATTATATAGATTATATATATAGATAGGTTTACCCTGCAGTGTGTGGAGTAAAGGCAGCAGTGTATGTTGTGTGTGGTGATGAACTTAGCGCTGTACTCGTTCTCCTCTCTCCACTCAGCTTGTAAGAGTGAACAGCACAAGTGGAAATCTACTTCCTTCCTTTTTTCTTCTGCACTCATCCCTCCTGTGGCTCTAGAGCTCCACCGGTGGAGACACCACAACATCACACAATACAGGAAAATGCTTAACTCATGACACAAGTACAGATTGCCAAATAATGGAAACAGTCTAAAAGCGTGACTAAATCTCAGCCAAACAATAGAGCACATATGAATCTGATTCATTTTAACCGCTTAAACTTTATCCTCTTAAACTCTACGTGTCTGTACGTACAGAGGCCGACACCTCAACTCTCCACTCTCCACACTACACAGACTCCCTCATCAGTCTACACTGAATCATTTACAGTGGACACTGAATCATTTATGGTAGATACAGAATTGTTTATAGTACATACTGAGTCATTTAGAGCAGTCGCTGAATAAATTGTAATAAATACTGAATAATTAGTAGTATGCATTGAATAATTCATTGTTGTTTTTAAATCGATTGTGGCAAAAATTAAATAATTATTATTAATATTGAAAAATGAATAGTACTTACTGAATAATTCACAGTAGTTACTGTATAATTTAAAGCAGACACAAATTACTTCATAGTAGATTCTGAATAATTAATAGAAGACACTGAATAATTCATAGTAGTTACTCAGTAATCCTTAGTAGACACTGAATAACACAGAGTACATACTGAAAAATTCATAGTAGATACTGAATTATTCATAGTAGTTACTGAATAATGTGTAGCAGATACTGAATTAATAGACAGTAAATATTTCATAATAGATATTGAATAATTCAAAGTAGATACTTAATAATTCATAGAAGTTACTAAATAATTCATAGTAGTTACTGAAACCTTCATAATAGGCACTGAATTATTTATAGTAAATTCTGAATAATTCAAAAGACACTGAATAATTTATAGTAGATACTGAATAATTCAAAGTAGGTACTGAATAATTTATAGGAGATTCTGAATAATTCATAGTAGTTACTGAATAATTTGTGGTAGACACTGAATAACTCATAGTAGTTACTGAATAATTCAAAGTAGATACTAAATAATTCATAGTAGTTACTGAAAAATTCATAGTAGACACTGGATAATTTATAGTAGATACTGAAAAATTCACAGTAAATACTGAATAATTCAAAGTAGATACTGAAAAATTCATAGTAGACACTGAATAGTTCAAAATAGATACTGAATAATTCATGGTAGTTACTGCGTAATGAATAATAGTTACTGATTAAACATTATTATTCTTTAATTAATAGGACATTTTGAATATTAAACCTGTACACTGTTATAAATAAAGGTTCTATGTAGGTACATTTTTCAGTCATTAAGGCACAGACAATGCAAATGTTCCCTCAAAGGAACAACCGTGGCTTTAAGGTCTAATTGTGAACCTAATGTTTTAAAACAGAACAATAAACTAAAAAGCCTGGAGATGAGACGGGGTGTGTGGAGTCAATATAGCTTAGACAAAATCATTTCACTGGATTATGGTACAGTTCTGTTCCCTGACTAAAGGTACTGAGATGTGCCCTTGTGGGTCCCACCCCAGTGACAGGTTTACTACATTTATGTCTGAGGGTGTAGGTTCTGTGAGATTTTGTGGGCCATGTCTCTTCAATCTTCAAGGCCACGTCAGTCTCTGCAGTTTTCCCACCATGTCAGTATAAACAGGCTCAGGCTCAGGGATTAAGAATTTACGCTCTACTGAGGTTTTGGACCCTGGGGGATAAACAGACATGGACGCCCTCCTGAGGGAAAGGAGCTCTCGGGACAGACTTCTTCTGAAGAATTCCAATGTCCAGGAAAGATTTGCTCAACCACAAGCTATAAAACAATGTCACAGACCACTAAAGAGGCTGTCTGTTCCTGGAGTGTCTGTCCTTATTCTCTGGCCTGCTGAAGGTCACGACCTAGCAGGGAAACACAAAGATGCAGGATTTAATAAGAAGAGACGTAAACGTCACAGGACACTCATAAAATCCTATGTTCATTTTGCAACCATACCATGCTGTATGAAAGTAATTATTTTCTTGAATTGTACCTGAATTATACAAAAATGCAACTTGTATGTCAGGCTAGTTGCATGATTTGGACATAATCTGACCATCATGTCCAGTTATCACAGGACAAAACTACTGGGAGTGGTGAGATTGGAATATATCACCCCAAACTCCTCCTGTGCAGGAGAACCAATCAGCATTGAAGAACAGACATGACAAGTACTGGGGCGCTTCTCACGGCTAAACCTCTTAAAAGTCCTGATTCTGATCACAAACTGCTGAGATCTATCTTTGGCACCAATCTTTCATCCGATCTCATTTTGAGCTCAGATTCTAACCCTGCGTTCACATCGGCAGCGACTTTTCACCTCTTGTCGCCCAAATTGCTGATCGCTCATTGCCTGTGGGTGTCTCTGAACTCCAACTGACCGTTGGTTGGTTCCACTGACGCCAAGCACAAATGAGACGCATTCCCCAAAAAGTCCTGGCGAGATATGTGTGTGTATATTTTTATTTAATCTATGTCTGTGCAGTCAGTTTGTGAGGAAAACAGTATTTGGTTTTTGTGATTACTGTATATTTGCAGTGAAAGCACCAGCATTATTCCATCTCTAGTACTAACAATTATCTAAGAACCAAAAAAGGAGCGTACTCCACAGAGATAAAGTGTGTACTACACTGCTCAATGCTCAATTCCTATTGGTAGTTGCCATGTTGTTTCACCCCTTATTTGCATAAAGTTTAACTCTGCTCAACTTTGTTGCATCAACGACTCCGCTCACTTTGCGTCGCCAACCTTCTCACTGCCTCCTGTCACTGGAAATCGCCAGTACTCATTAAAAATAAATGACCTTCGGGCTCCGTGTTGTGTTGCGTCAGTATTCATCAGAAGAC